ATTATTATTAAAAACAAAAACATTAAGCTTTTAATATAATAGAATAACAACCACTCTAAATAATTTTTCACGAGACGAAAATAATATGCGAATTATCTAGTCCATGTGCCGATTGTATCTCCAAAGTTCATAAAGAAAAATGTAGCATATATATAGGTCATAAAATTACAGCACTTTCACGCCGACTAACACGACATTTATCCTATAATAGGGCCCTAAATTTTATTAATCATCATAGTTAGATATTCTTGTAGCTATTAATATATATTTCGACCAGAATTAGACAGATACATAACACAAATATAGTACACAATATAAACCGGAAAATAATTAGAGCCATCAAAAACTCACATATTTTTTAGCCAAGGAAATGGTATACTGAAAATATTTAATAGTTAATAATTATACAAGCTCAATTGGCATAAAACCGAAAGATATATATGTGCTGTAAGCAACTCTTAAATGAAAACATCAATACTGCTTATTTAAATTTCTAATTTTCCAAACGCCAAACTCAGTGAAGGAAAATACATAAAATAGATAAAAGCTTTTTAGTGTTTAATTTTTGAGATCAGTATTTGTCAATATTCTTTTATTATTTTGAATTAATTTTCTCATCTAGGTTGATACTGGTTTTATTATAGATACAACGTTTCGAACAAATAACCTCTGGTCATCATCAGGTGTCCATTAATTGGCTGATATGGGATATCTCTTGATTATTGTGATATTCTGTCCCTGTGATATCAGTTATAGTTTGTTTCTATTGAATTGGTGTGTAGTATATCTTTTCTAATATGAGTAATTTTCAATATTCTTGTATGATTTATCACATAAGAGGTTTTTTTAAGCTTTAATAAAAGTAAAACTTGTTAGATTGATAAACATTTCCTATTTGCTTTTTATCTTATTCTGTCGGATTCCGATGTGTATTTGATCCCACAACACACAAACACACACGTATATATATATATATATATATATATATATATATATATATATATATATATATATATATATATATATATATAAAACAGTATTGATCATGGTATTAATTTTACCGTTTTTTTTTCGGAATATTATTTTGACAAAAATCAATTTCATAATTACACACACACACACACACACACACACACACACATATATATATATATATATAAATTTGCTTAAATACTAAGAAAAATTTCTTGTTAACTGTTAATCTAAAATTAATATTAATATCAGACAAATGATGAAACTTTAATAAAAGTGAAACATGTTTGATTGATAACCGTTTCCTATTTGTTCTTTATCTTATATATATATATATGTGTGTGTGTGTGTTAGGAAAATTAATGACAAAGTGGAAAAGATAGTAGATCATCGGACTATAGTGATCTTTACGTTGATGTGGCTACACATGCGCAGGAAGTAGTTCCATTTAATTTTTTCTTTGAATATGAATTTGTGTATAGAGTCTCCTCTTCTACTGTTACAATTTGATATACTTAATGACAAAAGTCATAATAACAAAGACAAAAAAATCTAAATTCGCTAGACTATATACTGAAACCCCTTTTTTATTTGAATCTATAAGATTAAAATTCACATCGTCCCCTCTCCTTCCAACGCATGTGTAGTTACATAAACGCCAACATTACTTTAATCCGGTAAAGTCTTAAAGGACGAAATGCGTTACCCACAAAAAAAAAATTGCCATTAATTTTTAACATTGTTCTCGTATATAACAATTCATATGTAACTTTTGACTATATATATATATATATATATATATATATATATATACAAAATGTGTGTGTGTGTGTATTTAGGCAGCAATCCTTCTTTCATGCACATTTCATTGAATACGACAAACAAGGTGCTTTTATTTAGTTTTTTATACAATTTCTCATGCAATCTAATAATTTTTTCTTTTCACATGATAAATTACATAAAAACTGTCCGAATGTTCTTTTTATCCGAGCGCTTTCGGCTATACATTTACCCATTTTCAAGGATGAAATATTTTAATTGTTAAATAAGAAATAGTTTGTTGCATGTATGTTTTATAAAATGTTTTCATTTTTCAAAACACGTTCAAGATATTGTGTCCATGGTCATAGTTAATATTATTAAGTCTTTTTTTTTTTTTTTTTTTTTATAAATAAAGCTTCCATTATTTTTAGCCTTTTTTTGCCTGTAGATGATGCTATTATATTAGTGTTGTCAACAAGTATGTTAAGAATAGTGTCCGGTAGGTCTCCATGAATATTTAAATGAGATCTAATTGAGCTATGGTCAGAAAGATGTGAGTCTGAGTGTCAAACATGTTGTAGTGTTGCCTATATTATTATTTACGAATTTTGATTGATCAGAATACAATTCCTTAATAGGCATATACATATATATATATATATATATATATATATATATATATATATATATATATATGTGTGTGTGTGTGTGTGTGTGTTTAATTTAAATATCGACCACATGGCTATCGTCAATTTTGGTGGGGAATAAAAACATTAATATCCTATCCACCGTGTTGTGTTCAAGAAGGATCTTACGGCCATATCATGTTTAAATACAGTTTCTTATCCGATCACCGAAGTTAAGCAACGTCGACCCTAGTCAGTACCTAGATGGGTTACCGCTCGGTAATACCAGGTGCTGTAAGCTTGGATGCGCATGTAGTGTAATAAATAACGGCTCGGAATAAGAAATCGGAGAGCCGAGTTCGATCTCCTGTCTGGTTCGTTTTATTTACTTACGTGAAAATAGCTTTGGAAAACATATGAATCAACTTCTTCTTCTCCCAGCTATTAGTAAGAGTTGCATCAGAAATTTATTTTTATCTGCAAAAAGTTCTTACGATCCAAAAATAAATCTCGTTTTTAAACAACCTTAAAAATGTTGATAAGCCGTAAAAATCAAAGCAGTCAATCATATAAATCGAAGAAAATTAATACGATTACATTGATTTGCAGTCTAACTTCAACGCTACCGGTTAAGAATCAGTTCGTAGATATAATGGATTTCAAAAATAAAAAAATAATATCTATTTTAAACTTTGAATTTAGCGTGGGAGGTTATTAAAGATTATGCAATCACAATATGAAATTGATCGCCACCTTTTTATCACGAGAAAAGTATCTCCCTATTTAAAAGGGCGCATTTTTCGTTTTGTTTATAGTAAATAGAGAATTGAGCTGAAATAGTATTGTGTAGAAAGACGACCGACCTTAGCTACACTACACTGTTGAATATGGACTTTTCCAGTGACTATGAAAGGAGTCGCAAGCGACGCACAAAGGAGTCGCAAGCAAGACGCAAAGAAGTCGCAATCGATACACAAAGGAGTCGCAAGCAAGACACAAAGGAGTCGCAAGCAAGACACAAAGAAGTCGCAAGCGACACACAAAGGAGTCTCACAGTAACCGCAAAGAGTGTCGCACTAACTACAAAATTCGTTAGTATTGTAATATTAATCCACGTGATTAAACAATCCTTTCACTAATCTTATGTTCTAGTGCTTTCCTTTGAAATATTATTAACCTGAACTACGAATTGATACGAACATTATAACAAAGAATAATGGTATAGGCAAATATGTCTGGACTGTAAGAATTTGCGAGAGGATAATAATGGTTTACTGATACTAGTCCTACTAATTAATCCATAGCTGCGGGAGAAGAGATGGATTCATACCTTTCCCAAGGACTATTTTTGGCAAGTTGTGGTATTAGGTGTTAAATCTTCTCAGTTTTATTTATTTATTTTTCAATGATGGGATTTTAAAAAAATGAATTAATAATAAACATTACAACCACATCTCACATGCTAATGATTGAAATTTCAACATTATGTATTTTTGGAGCTACACGAATCTTAGCTTGATAAAAACTCACCGTAAGCTCAGAAGAAAACTCGTTTCGCATGCTATTGTTAGTGTGTGACACATTATGACTAAATATACTTAGTGAATAATATCATCTATCGTTGGCCCAAGTTAGTATCTCAGCAGAAGAATGTTGTGTAGAAAGATGACTCACCTTCTTTACCCTAAAGTGTAGATTATAGACTCTTCCATTGATTATGAAAATGGTCGCAAGCGAGACACAAGGGTATCGTAAAGTAGTCGCAAAATGTGTCGCACTAACTACGATATTCGTTAGTATTGTAATATTAATCCACCTGATTAAACAGTTCTTTCATTAATCTTGCGTTCTACTGCTTTCCTTTGAAATATTATTAACGCGAACTACAAGCTGATACGAGCATTATAAGAAATAGAAATAGGGCGTATGGCCATATCACGTTAAAAGACCGATTACCTTACGATCACTGTAATTAAGCAACGTCGTGCAAGGTCAGTATCTAGATGGGGGAACGCTTGGGAATACCATGTGTTGGAAGCTTGCGAATGATGTCATAAATAATTGCTCGTACTTAGAAAGTAGAGAACCGAGTTCCAATTCCAGTCGAGTTCGTTATATACGCTTCTGCGAAAATAGCCTAGGGAAATGTATGACTCAACCTTTTCTCCCCTCCCCCTGCTGGTTTGCATTACCTATTGTATTGTAATTAGGTTTGCCTTAACTATTGTATTGTTATTAGGTTTGTATTACCTATTGTATTGTAATTAGGTTTGCATTAACTATTGTATTGTTATTAGGTTTGCATTACCTATTGTATTGTAATTAGGTTTGCATTAACTATTGTATTGTAATTAGGTTTGTATTACCTATTGTATTGGTTTGCATTACCTGTTGTCCCTACTTCAGGAACTTTACCTTATATTAATCAACCCATGAAAGTCCTTTCCTTTTGCCGTCATAGGGAGGGACTGTTCGATACTCTACAGCGCTGGTTCAATACGCCATGCTTAGGGGCTTACAACACCTGGTACACCCAAGCGGCCATCCACTTATAAGTGATATGGTTGTAAGCCCTTTATAAACAGTTTTGTTCAAAAGATGTATAATAGAATAGATAGATTTTCTTTTTACTCATAAGTCTGTTAATAAATTAAGAGACAGGGGAAAACTCGTTACAAACAAAGAAAATAATTCTGAACTATGTAATATCTAATCTCCTATATGACAATAACTGACACTATCGTTCTCATCTTAATATAGATGTTATTATAGACACAATGTCTCAGTTATCTACTCTCTAGACATTATCAGGTGATCATAGCACAAAAATGAACAGATAATTCATACCAGCCAAAGAAAAGTAATAGATACCTGACGATGTCTAGAGATACTTATTCGAAACCCTGTGTATATAATAATGGGAGGCATCCGTTTGCATCATGAGGAACTCCTCCCGGTTCTGTTGAACAGGATTAGAGGTTTATCTCTTTTTTCCTGGATTCTCAGTTTCTTCTGAAGTATTCTCATTCTCTTTCACTCCCAGTAACCTCCTTGCGTCTTAGTGGCATTATCGCCTTGCTTCCGATGGAATGATTAAAAAAAATAATAATAATGGTAGCTTGCTGGTTGGTCCAAATTACGTACTTTGGTGGTAAGAACTCCTCATGGCTCATTTCTCGGCCGTACCAAAAAGATCAAACAGAATAAAGGACTTTACATTAGGGCCCAACTTGGCTGCAGGAATTGCCGGAAGGTTGACGGTGTTGAAAGAGCCGATGAAAGTATTTACACTATTTCCATTGTTCGGATTACTGTGTTCATTTATATTGTCATATTCACGAAGTTTCGGCCGTTGTACCTTCCGGACTTCTTCAGGTTATATAAGTTGGAATTTCGATTCGAACCCTTTATTTAGTCCACTGGGGTAGATTGTTCTCGTCCCACGTGTCTTGCATTTTATAGATATCTCAGTTTCAGTTATTTCCTTTTATGAATTCAACTCTCAAAATTTTTGTTCTGCCGTCGTTGGGTATTGAACTCACAATTCTTGACTTGACCCAAAGAGCTGTGAGTTCAATACCTGGCTACAGCAGGTCTTAACAAAAACCTGGAAAATTGAGTAACTAAAGGGAAATAAGTGAAACTGAGATATCCAGAAAAGGCATGGCACGTGGAACTAGAACACTCTTCACCTTTGAAAACCATACCACGGGTTGACCTAAGCTTTGTGAGTGAAATTGGGTGGATAGAACTATTTGAGAGATGTCGATGGTTGTTCTAGCACGAAGTCACAAGTCATCGTGACAGAGGGTTTGAACGTGCTAGCCTTGTTCAGGCTGTTGATCACGCCAGATAATGCGCTCTATCCCAGAAAGGGTAACAAAGCTCTGCTCAGAATAGTTGCAGTATAAACCACAGGGCGTGTTGAACATACACAAATGTGCCTGAGCATGCGTCTGTAATAGGGATTGGCTAGCTGACAGGCATCCTCGGATACGAGTGGCCAGCCATAAGATTATCACCATGTTCGGCCCTCCGACATTCTTCAGCTGTTTATATTGTCTAGGTAACCTTCAAGGAATTTAGAAGTGAACCCTTGTTTTTAGTCCTTGGGCGCAGATTGTTATCGTTCTACTGTAGACGTCTAGGGGTATCTGGTCTGGTTCTATGTTATTATTTCTACTTTTTGTATCCATTGAGTCTAAAACTGTCATAGAGGAAGAAAATGAGTAACTACCGACACCGAGGTTCGAACGTGACACTCTGGACTTATGAATATATGTTTTCCTCCAGGTGTATAAATAGCGGTGTCAGGCTACTGACTGCAGTGATTATTGAGTGGAACTATCCAGTCGAATTAGTGTGAATTATTGTGTGTCGATGATTTGGGTTTTGATTTAGGATTTACCGGATTTAAGCCGAGCCGCGCTGCTAACAAGGTATTCACTGAAATGGTTAATTATCTTTGGTTGACTTTTACTTCTTTATACTTGTTAAGTATATATTTGTGGTTGTCATTAAATACTGTTTTATTTTAATATTGAAGTCTTGAGTTATACTTAATCATTAGCGGCTACCGTACGCCACAAAAAAAATCACTAAGACCTGGGCGAGGAATTCAACACACAAATTACTATTTCACCAAATTCACGAGTCAGTATTTCAATCCGCTATGCAGTTATCAATCCATAATCCGGGCAGTGCTGTGACTGTGTTAACAGGGTGATCCATAACTGAGCCGTACGTGGACAACGAAGCAGGAATAATCCATTCTCGTACATTAAAGAAAGGGTTCATTTCGAAATTCTCGGAAAGTAACCCATATTGACCGACTCCTGAAGAAGGGACAACGGTCGAAACATTACGATATCAATAATGAAAACGAGACTTATATTCCAAATGTAAACAATCCAAATTATTTTGTTGCGTTTAATTTGTAAGGAGGGTATAAACTACCAATTATATGAATTAGCATTAGTGGGGTTTTTTTTGGGGGGGGTCTCACGTGACTTATTTTGTGCAAGAGAGATAGAAGAAGGCAGCGAGTCAGTAGTGTGCATAAGTCGGGTTTAGATAGAGCGGCAGACTCGGGTATCCATATCCGAGGGTGGGGCATTCAGTCAAAGATGGAAATAAAAATTTAGTTTATATTTAATTTAAATAAAGTGTTTATTTTACGTGTTGTCTGTTTTTGCATCTATAAAATATATTCTTTTCTCCCATTACTTAGTCCTAGGCCCGATATGACCCAATCCTACTTGAATGTTAGCGGCAGACAATCAATGAGTTGGCACCGGGCATCACCAAACATCTGTCCGTCATTGCAACGAGCCACTTACTCGACGGGCTTGTGTGAACGGATGGCGGGAGCTTCAACAAAGGGAGAACAACTATAAAAGGGATAGGAAGTCGTGGAGAGTCATGATCGTTTATACCCTGAAGGGACGCGGCACAGAAAAAAAAATAGAAGGTGCCGGTGGCGAATACACAAATGTCTCCGCTAACAAGAGATCATTTTTCCCGACCTCAAAAACAACAAAACCGGAATCTGATCCGCCGGAGGGGGGGGGCAGATAAAATATGGGAAAAAAAATTTAGTTTTTTTTTTTTTAATTAAAAAAAGAAAGCTAATGACTCTCAATTTCAAGAGTCCCGCTTCATTCCTCTTTTCCTTACCCCCATACACCCCCACTCTCTCACCGACTCTTTTTCTTTCTGCCTCTGTTTCTACTCTCTTTACTTAATTCCTGTTTGTTTGTGCGTGTGTGTTATTTAACATGTTGAGTCTCCTAAAAATAAACCGAACGTGTTCATTTTCTGCTAGTCGCCTTGCAAACCCAATATTTTGTTAGATATTTTTTTTTAATTAAACGTTTTAATGTTTGAAGACAACAAAAAAAAAAGCCTGAAAATTCAAAGGGAGACAACCAATAATAAAACAAGCAAAAATGGCAGATTTATTTGTTGCGGTGATTGAAAATGTTGCAACGACTGCTGCTAGCAATTTTCAGTGGATTGTGTGCCGCCTCAAAATATGGAGGTCGACCGAAAGAGAGAAAGAGAAGGAAAGTGTGATGAGGCTTAGAAATCGTGTGATGTACGCGTTTCCTTGGAAAAAGGTGATTTTATGGATCTAAATAGTAATACGCAGGTTGGGGGTTGGGAGGTCTGTAAAATGAATACAACATGGCTTCTGCAAATATATCGATGTTACAGGCTACAAGCTTCATTTGTTAAGGTAGTCACGTAACTAATCAATCGCTCTAGTGATCGAGTCTATTTTATTCATATCTATCTAATAAATAGTTTCGCTTTTTCTCTCTCTCTTCATATTCATTTCTCTCCACACCAAATATCTATCTATCTATCTATCTATCTATCTATCTATCTATCTATCTATCTATCTATCTCATTCTAATGATTATCTATCTATCTCAGTCTGATCATATCTATTAATCATTCTATCGGTATACATCAGTCTGTTCATATCTATCATTCTTATTCTAATGATTATATATCTATTTCAGTGTGTTCATGCCTATCTCATTCTAATGATTATCTATCTATCTATCTATCTATCTATCTATCTATCTATCTATCTATCTATCTAAGTCTGTTCATATATATCTTTCTATCTGCCTCAGTCTGTCCATATCTATCTATCTATCCATTACTGTCAATATCTATCTATCTATCTATCTATCTATCTATCTATCTATCTATCTATCTATCTATCACTGTCAATATCTATCTATCTATTTCAGTCTGTTCATATCTATCTATGTCTCTATCTATCTACCTCAGTCTGTCGATGTCTATCCCATTCTAATGATTATCTATCTATCTATCTATCTATCTATCTATCTATCTATCTATCTATCTAAGTCTGTTCATATCTATCTTTCTGTCTACCACAGTCTGATCATATCTATCTATCGATCAATCAATCCGTTTCGGTCTGTTCTTCTCTATGTTTCTATCTGTCTACCTCTTTTTGTTCATATCTATCTCACTCTAATGATTATCTATCCATCTATCTATCTATCTATGTGTTGCCGCTGATATCTATCATTCTCTAAATCTACCTTTAGAAATAGGGGCATGCATGTAGTGTAACACTCATCAGTAGAGAAAGTGGAATTGGTAAAACATTTGCAAGTCTGTTGCATTCATTTTCGCTCTCATCCCATTGGAACAGGCATGAGTCTATTTTTGTTCTATAGCAAGATGGTAAATAACAGAGTAAGCTGGGTTCGCTTGCCGTGGGTAGCAATCAATCTAAGTGAAGGATATCCCTGAATTCCAAACTGGAGAAGACAATAGAAAACCCCATTACACTCTTTCCCATGAAAACATGGATATTCACAAGCAATAATGAAGAGAGAGAGAGATAGATAGATAGATAGATAGATAGATAGATAGATAGATAGATATATAGAGAGAGAAATCATCACTAATGTTGATATTTAACAAAGAAAAAAGAGATAGATATGAATAGATAGATATTGAGAAAGATGATGAGACTAAAACAGAATGATCAATATAAATATTGAATGATAGGCACATAGATAGGAACAGACTGACAGATAGATAGATAGATAGATAGATAGATAGGCTGGGATCAAATACAGATCAAATATGGATCGGAATCCGACAGAATTATATGAGAAAAAAACAAGTAAAATTATTAAAGTTTCATCAAAGAATGAGATATGAAGAAAAAGAAGAAAGAAATTCTAGTATTTTTACTTTTGGTTTTTTTTTATTTTTTTTTTTTGGTTAATCATGTTTCATGTGCATTCGACTTTTTGAACCAACGTTCGTGTAATTTCTCTTTTAGTTTTGGAGTAATTTTCAATGTTGTGCGAAATTATATCTTGCCCAGCCTATTCTATGGTCAATTTCCTCATGTCCTTTGCTAATTTCGTTCCAACTGATTCATATACTGAACTAGTTCAAATGTCTCGTATTTATCAAATCCACATAACTAAACAGAAATTAAAATGACTGGCAGCTTCAAACATTAAACTGTGACCACATCCATGGTTAATATCAGCAAACGCGACATTGAGGACTCTCAGGATTGAATAAAATAAGAGGGGCAGTAAGAATGATAACAGCAGCAGCAGAAGTAGCAAAAGCAACAGCAACAGCAGCAGCAGATTTATGGTTCAAGGTTCAAGATTGTCCTACAGGACAATAAATAGCATTGTGGATTAAATAATTTGTTGATCAATTTGATAGCATAGTAATTAATATGGGTAGTATTTATGGAAACTACTCTGGGTACAGACTCAGCGGGAATACTGAGCAGTACTAAAAGGAATGAGGGTGATTTAACTCCGTGGATGCGGCATGGTCTGCCTTAGTTGTATTCGACCTTGCATGGAATACTGCAGCCATATATGGTCTGGTGCTCCCGTTGTTCATCTCGGTCCTCGACAAAATCCAGAGACGGCTATGCAACGTGGTTGGTCCTGTTCTGGCATCCCGTCTGCAGTTGCTATCTCACAGACGTGCTGTGGCTTCCTACAAGTATTTTCACGACATCTGCTCTGACGAGCTACTTTCACTAGTTCCCAAATTGCATAAATTTAAGCGTGCTACTAGGTTGGCATCTCGGTCCCACCTTTCCACTGTAGAAACGACTAAATGTAGCCATCTCTTCTACTCCAACAGCTTCTTATCTCGCACCTTCCCTTAGTGGATCTCCCTTCATATCACTTGCTTCCCTGCTAGCTAGAATATTCAAACATTCAAATGTAATGTCAATCGACATCTTCTGATGGCTTGACCTTGATCCATGTCCTTCTCTTTATATGTTTCCCAAATACTCCTCTTTACTCTTACTTTCCCTCCCTGTAACCCCTTGCGTGCTAGTTGCACTCTTGTTTTGCTTGGAGTGATTTACTTTTAAAAAATCCAAAATGCTGGAAACAGATTGCAGCTCATCTAAATCAGAAAAGTTGATATTTGTAGTTTTTCCATAGTAATTTTTTTTTATGTATCTGATCTTTTGAGGTTGCCTGTGGGGATTTATCTATGTCAATGCACTCTCTTTTTCGTTAGACATTATTTCATGTTGCCCAAACACATCCCACATTATGAAAATATACAATAATGTAAACTTATCAATGGATATTTGTACCTGATACAAAAACTGATATCGTGGAACTGGATTTAGTTTTAACACTCTGCATTGTTCACTTATTCGTTTGGTGACAATGTTTAACCTCCGTGACGCGACGCTTATTTCATTTATACCGTTATTAGTATATACCATTTTGACTCCCTCGACAAAAAAGCGACAACTAGAATTTTAATAAAAGCCAAACATATGAAAGTGGATTTATATCTACCGGGTGTAACAACAAAATTGTCAAAATCGTGTAACAGCAAAATTGTTTATTTGTTATATTAAGCTTTGAACAAATGTATCTTAGAAATGATTAAAGATATCTTACTGGAATTTTCCGAAGTTTCTTATAACACTATTGGACTCTACTTTGAGCAATGAGAATGTATAATTACTATCCAAGCTTAAAAGAAGAATCATGATGAAATCGATCATAAACAAAAATAACATTTGCATCATTAATTAATCATAGCTAGATTGGAAGGTCATGAATATTGAAATAAAGGTCATATATATATATATATATATATATATATATATATATATATATATATATATATATATATATATTATTCCATTTTCAAAACTTATTCAAGATGATCTTCGCCTTCTCTAACCTTCTAAATTTCTGTCCTAATCTATCAAGGTGTTTTACAGGTTTCGCGTACGATTTCATTTATATTTTCAATTCTTTTTTTTCACTGTTCTTTTAACTGTCATAGCTGAAACTCCTCTCTCACGTGTCAAACGTACTATGGATTTAGTTGGATCTTTTCTAATTGATCTCTTTAGCTGTAAGTTGAAATGATGATCCCTGTTGTGACCGCCTGATCCAGTTTTTCTCTCTACTGCTCACTCTTTTTTAAATTTATTCACCGTTCTCTTGATGGTTTTTGAATGGACTTTGAAGGTATAAACCACAGTATGAATGTTGGTGGTATTAATGAAGGTCTAAATGATGTTTTTCCTCTCACCATTGTTCAGTTGGGAAGACATAGCGGTGATGACGCAAAAAACGATTTAAACCTGTTCACTTTCTAGCTGAATAAGGTCTTTTTTTTAGTGATTCCTTCAACAAATGATGTAAAAATGTCTAAGCGTCTTATCTGAACACCTGGTAAAAAGAAACCCAATTAGTGTAATGTTTTTTTTTAGATATTAAAGATTTTGTGGGATGGACAATTATCATATGCTGTTACACGATTCGAACAATTTTGCTGTTACACGCGGTAGATATATTTTTATTCTTCAGAATATACAACAAGATATTAAACACTATTTTTGTTATTACACTTGTTGAGATTCTTGATGAAATCCAAAGAAGAATCTGCAATGTTATTGATTCTGGCATGGCATATCAGCGTCAGTCAGTTTCCCACTACCATAATGAAGCTTCCTATGTTTTTTCTTTAAATATTTTCATGCTAATTATTCTGCTGTTCTTTCCTCATTGGTTCTCAACTTACAAATTTAAGCGCAGTACTAAATTGCTGGTTAGGTCACATCGTTTTACATTTGAAATGGAAATTTTCAACCCCTAGCAGTATCAAATATTCTATCCAGAACAGCATCATTGAAATGAACACGAAAAGCTCTCTGTGTTTCAATAACAGATTCATTCGTCTAAAAAAAACAACATTTCAACAGCAAACGACTTCGGTTCACCATCCCAAGCCATGATTTTAACTGATGATATCTAAAAAAAATGGTAAGACATTAGCTACATGAGGACACCATAGCAGGTCTTATCTTATTAAGCCTCTCCAATAAAGCTGATGTTTTTTATTATTAATATTATTATTTGTGTATTATGATTCCTGCTTTGTATCCTGTAAAGCTGGGTCCAAACTATGGTCCTTAGGCCCTATAGGAGAATTGTCATTTCATTGATAGCACTTTTCTTAGTATATGGAATGTTCCTAGTAGAGCGATTTTTTGGGCATCTTGTATGTTGATGTTACCTGGGACACTGTTAATAAAATTGTCCATTCCTTTTCTCACAAAGCCCAGAGCTTCGCTTACTATTGGTACAGTTTCATTCTTCATTCCGCACATCCTGTTAATCTCGATCTCCAGGTCCGTGTATCTGGACAAGTTCTCCATAATGTTCATGGAAGTGTTTCTCTCAGATGGTACTGCTATGTCAATAAGCATACACTTTCTTTTTATGATAATATCAGGTCTGTTGGCTGTTATTTCCCTGTCAGTTTGAATTGGCATGTCACAGAGGATAGTTACATCATTATATTGGGATTATTTTTGTGGATCGTTTGATTCGTGATTATATGGATTATTTGCATGCGAACTGGTATCCTCAACTTGGTGATTCTTTTCCCAGTCGTTTCGACCTTTGTGCTATCTAGCCTTCATCAGGTGTATGTCGATTCTAGTAAATCAACACCATTGGTATTTAACAAATAAGATATATATGAATAGGTAGATATTAAGAAAGATAAAGAGACTGAGACAGAATGATCAATGTATATATAACAGAAAAATAAAAATAAAAAATATCAGATTTTTTTTTTCGAAATATTTAATTTTTGGAGAGAGTTTAAATAAAAGCGAAACATGTTAAATTTATGGACATTTTCCGAGTTGTTGATTAATTAATTTGTTTTTTTACGGTTTATCAACCCTTTGCCGGTTATTTAAAGTCAGCAAATATTTTATGAATTTTTTTAGAGATAATAATTATTTACTGAAATAAGTGCTACTAATTAACCCATAGCTGGCAGGTAAAGGAGGTGGATTCATACCTTTTCAAAGTGTATTTGCTCAGAAATAAATATAGCAAATCCGACTGGAATAGGAACTCGGGTCTCCGATTAATATTGTCTATTACACCATCCAGGCATCCAAGCTTTCAACTCCTCGTATTCTCTATACCCATCCAGGTATTGGCCAAGCTCAATGTTTCTTAACTTTGGGGATCATACGAGAACTAGTGTTTCAACATGATATTGATATAAGCCTTGTTTTCCTCTTTGTCGTCTTATTTTATCGCTTACACACACAGAGACACGCAAAACACACACACACACAGATATATATATATATATATATATATATATATATATATATATATATATATATATATATATCACGGACGGGACGTTTAGGTGTATATTAATTTTCGTATTTTTTAGTGATTTTTACGAAAAGTAATTGTGTTGCAAGGACTTCTTTTCAAAGAAAGCTAAGAATTAAATAAAAGTGGACAAAAGCTATGAAGAAAGGAAAAGCAACAAACATTGTTTCAAATTTCTCTCCGCCCACACATTGAATCCCGACATGATAGCAATTAGCTCAGTTTGTCTATGTATGGACTTATATTCTCCATATTGGGTGATTTTTGTGGCTGAGGCTGTTCAAAGGACTCCACGTATATCGTTGTTCTTTGGAAAAAAAAAGCATTGATGTCATTGAAATGGAAGAATACTTTCCCACAATGCACTGTAAGCACAATCACAAACAGAGCTAGAAATTACAAAGTTTGCGTTTATGTGTCTCTGTTATATATATTATTATTATTATTATTATTATTATTATTATTATTATTATTTTTATATATACAATAGAATTACTTCTGTATATTAAATTTAAAGATATATATATATATATGTGTGTGTGTGTGTGTGTTAATGATTGCTGCCCAAATACACAATAGATAGATAGATAGATAGATAGATAGATAGATAGATAGATAGATAGACTGTATATTTGGGCAGCAATCTCTCTTTTATACATGTTTCATTAAAGACGCCTGACAAGCTACTGCAATTAAGCTTTTTATTTAATATTTCTTGTGTTCGTACAAGTGTTTTCTTTTCTGGACACAGTGTGTAAAAACTGACCAAAAGTTCTGCATATTCAAACGCTTTCGGATTTTGTTTTAGTCATTATCAACGATGATTTTGATTTTTAACTGAATGTGTTGTTTCTATGCATGTTTCTAAAGTTACAGGAATATTTTATTTTCCAAACACGGTCAGCACATTCTGGCCGTGTTCATAGGTTATATCATTGAGTGTTGGCTTTTTCTTTTTTATTGTTAGTGCTTCCATTATTGTTAATCTTTTTTACATGTGGATGAGGCTATTATACTTATTTTCCTTTGATATATTCTTGTATATATATATATATATATATATATATATATATATATATATATATAAAGAACAAATAGAAAACGTTTATAAGTCTAACATGTTTCATTTTATTAAAGTTTTATCAAAAATCGAAACGTGTTAGATTCATAAATATATATATATATATATATATATATATATATATATATATATATATATATATATATATATTCCGTCCTGGGTTTGACGATAAACTACATTTGCGTCCGTCCTCAGTAAGACGATAAACTACGTCCAACAGCAATTCCTCTAATCAGGAGGTTTTGAGGAGAGTAGAACAACCTCTTAATTGCTGGTGTTCCCAGGTAAATAGTTAAACCCCAAACTGGGCTCAAAACACTATGAAAGTGTAAAAAAAGGTTTTAATACCTGAAATACTTTGTAAAAAATATTGTTACCAGAAATAAAATTTTTGAAGAAAAATTATTACCAGCAATACATTTTTTGAAAAAAAAATATATTACCAGCTATACATTTTTGGAAAAAAATATTACCAGAAATAGATTTTTGAAGGAAAAATGTTACTAGCAATAGATGTTGGGAAAAAAAAATTGTTAGCATTGTGTTTGATATGCCGTAAAACAAACCAAACCAAAATAAATCAATATATATATATATATATATATAATTATTTATTTAAAAATATGATTCCATCGCTACGTAAGAGTTCTCATGTTTCAAAACAAGAGCCGAAAACTTCAATATAATTACTTGAATTGAATTGAATTAAAGTACCAAGCTCTGTTCCATCTTCAAGCGAAATTTTTTGGGAATAACCAATTCCTGAAATTTACGCGTTTTATAAGCATATTCATTATTAAAATGAAAATTACTATGGTAACGGCTAGAACAATTATTTTAAAAAAAAGGGCGTAAGGGTTAATAATTTGTATCAATATCTCAGTTACATTTAAAGAGGTCAAGTCAGGGTAAGTTTAGGTTGTCTAAATTTAAAGCGGAAGATGACATCGTCTAGTCTGGTTAAATGTCTATGGAGATTTATTCATTTTTTATTTTATTTATTTATTTTTTCGCTTTGCCTTACATCGTTCATGAATTATATTAACAATTTGCTTAAGAATATTCTCAGATCATTAGTAAATATATATGCAGATGATACCACAGTTTATGGATGCACCTCCAAAAATCTAGATGACCTGAGCTTGATAGTTGATCTATCGTCTGATCGAGCACTCATAGCTCGATCAGCTAATGACTGGATCGTATCATTCAGTATCTACTAAACCAAGCTAGTAAAAACAGACCATCGCGGAGACGTTCCTGAATTTTTCCAATCATCTTATATAAATAATCCTTCATGAAAAAATGCTGGGGGAATTGTTTAGTTCCTCTAGTATAGTGTTTTTCAACCTTTTTAAGCAAAGGCACACCTAGGAACAAATGAAAATATCACGGCACATTTAGCAAAATTCTTAAAGGGTATAAATTTAAATGTTACTAGACCACCCGTGACCCATTGTTTTGTTTACTGTTTACATTTAGTTTCATGAAGAGTTTGCGAAAGTAGAGATATTTTTTTTAAAATATACGTATATATATATATATATATATTTGCAGTTATTGAAGATGCTTTCAACATTAAAAATATTGTCTTTTTGAAGAAAGTTGAACAAGAGCTTGGAATGTCAAAATTCGGAGTGTTGGGATTCGATACAAAAACATAAAATATTGTTGCGGGGAATAATCAATCGATTTTCATTGAAAGAATAAAATTCAGTAGAAAAGACAACGTAGTTTCAGCAAATGAACATTAATTTAATATAACGACAAGAATACAAGCAATTGGTCATAGATTGGAAAGTAATGTCTTTTTCTTAGGGTTAATAAAATTCTGAAATAAAATATAAATTCACTTTGTGTACGTATGTGAGAAACAATGAAATGTTATTATATGTGTGTTTATGTGAAAAAGTCAACACGTGTGTGCGTGGTTCATAATAAAAAGGTTACAAGAGATAGAATTTGTTTCTTACTGTGAAAGGTGTTGCCGTAGCCCGAAGCGGTCTCTTTAAAGTTTGTCAGTGGTATCAATTTTAGCATGAGGCCGTGAAGTTCACAAACGAGCGTGGTGTGGAGCTTGATGACAGCTGTGCGTATCCTGTTTGGGGCCGGATTTCGTGCGTTTTATACATTTTCTCGTAAGAAAATCGGCTCCATCCCCTACTTCCTACAAGATAATAAATTTACATCTTTTTTTTCCCAACTCTGTATGTATGACTTCTTTATATCTTTCTTTTCCCCACTCTCTATATATATGACTTCTGGCAAACGCACAAGATACAAATTTCATAGAGTTTCATATAGTAATATGATGAATGAAATAAAACCATAGATTTAAAAAATACACACACAAATATGAACATACTTTATTTCTATGTTTCTATTTAACTATTTGTGGAGCTTATTTAGTGTGAAACCTGAGGCTGGTGTTTTTTGGGGGGTTTTTTTTCGCGATTTCTTCAATGTTTGGTCGAATTTGCTATAAGCAGATGGTCATTTCTTCTTCCGTTTAGCGTAATCTTTCTCGCTTCTTATTTTTAATGTTATTTAAGGTTGAGAAGCTTAATTCAAATAAATAAGAAATAGAAAATTGCAATAAAACTGATAAAGTCTTTTTAGCGAATGTGGGATATTACCTTTGTATTGAAATCCAAAATGTATCAATAGGTACCGTCGAATCTTTTATTTTGAGCCCTCGATCACTAGAAATGGTGGTTGTTATAGTGGAACACACCTATTCTATAGTTAATAGACTCTCCCACCTATAATAAGTAGTAGTAATAGTAACGAGTCAGTCGCTCAGTGAGTTAGTCAGTCGATGTCGGACGACCGTTAGTCGGATATTAAAGTATCAGCCACCACAACTAGATTACTGCGTCATTACCTATTATATCAAGTTCCTAACGTTTTGTACGTCGAACCTATTTTAGGATCGACTTAGTGAAATACAAGCCTCCACTGTGAAACTACTCTACAACACTTGACGACGAGGATTCGAACTCATACTGAGGGAAAAAAAATTCATTCGCCATATAAACAGTGGTCAATTCTTCTTCTTCATATAAGTCCAATTTTAGAAGGAACATTTATGAAGGGATTTTGAATCCAATCATATTGGGTTGGCGCATAATTAAAACAGTATTTATTATGAAAAAAAAAAGAAACATAACATTTGAACAATAACATTTTTAAACAGTTATTCCGGAGCGCATGATTATCGACACCCATTTTTATAACCTGAAAATAAAATAATATTTTTATTAAAATAAGTAAACAAAACAGCAGTTTTTATTAACAAATACCTCGTCTACAAAAACGCCTGATAATTATGCACAAACCCAATACTTTTTTTCTGCTCAGTGATGAAAAATAACGCATTAAAGGAAACATATTAGAATTTACCTGGCCCCTCCTGACATAATTTATCATTACAAGAAACAGGTCAGAGAAAGAAAGAAAGAAAGAAAGAAAGAAAGAAAGAAAGAAAGAAAGAAAGTAAGTAAGTAAGGGCGATGTATCGAGTCTGCAATTGCCCAGTCTCCACTTTTCAGAGTTCAAAAACATTTACGCAGCCCTATGGGTGATGAATTATTTTTCACCATACAGTGCCTTTCCTACAGGCACAATATTACAAGCCTCTTGCTAATCTATTGCAATTTGCATGGTAATTGTTCTGACAAACTACATTCATTGGTTCAATCAGTTCAGACCTTTACAGGTAAGACCTGTCATACCAAGTTTCGTTTTTAAATCGATTTCACCCCAAGCAAGGCAGTAAAGCCACTAAGACACAAGGGGTTACTGGGTGTGGAGGAATTAGGAACAGAAACAGTAACAATGAACGGGAAGAGAAAAGAGTAATCAGGGGGGCATTAAATAGCGATTGACATTATATTTAAATTTTTGCCGTTTAAAGTTGTCTGGAAAGCATGGGGCCGCCAGGGAGTTCTACAAGTGAAGTGCGAGAAAAGAAACTGCTAGCATAGAATTTACGGGCCAGTTCAAGTGTAAACTGATGAGATTTCGCCACCAGTCTAGTATTGCGCCTAAATTCAATGAGCCTACGTACAATAGCGACGAATTATATTTATTTGTAATTATTTATAAAAATGTGGCACAAGGCCAAAATGGGGAATAAGGGAAAGAACGGTTAAACTTAGCTAGCCACAAACACTGACCCAAATATACCATAATATTCCTAACAGCGAAACAACGCATTCTTACTTACCTTTCTTACTACATCCACCATAATACCACATTGTCTCTACGGAAGTCCTAACTAGTCCCCATATGTGCAATTCATTGGGTACGGAGGATAAAACAACAATTTAACAACTAGCTCTAATTAGTATTTACAATATGAAAACAAAAACTATTTACAAGAAATCAAATAAAATAATGTTAGTAATAAAACCAGCACAATCCTTAAATGTGGCAGAAACATCGTTTAATTGGACGAAATCAATGCAGGACTTTAATAATATAAAACATCCATTCATCCCCTGCACTCACACAAACACAACAACAAATACGAAAAACACAGCCGAAACGAAAGTTGCTCCGCATCCACCAGAGAACTGTCGTCTCTGCTCACCTAACGTGGGAGGGGATAGGGAATTAAACTAAAGAAAAATAGGGATATAAATAAAAGGGGCCAATGAGCATACATCCGCCAGCTAAGTTAACTGGAATGAAGAAACTAAAGATATAAAAACAACCTTAAATTAGCCTAATTTCGGGCAGGAAAAACATTATCTTGATGCCTAACCGGCACCAAAGTGCCACTCCAGGTCACTCGACACAAACGCGCAAGATTTACCCACCTTTTGCCAAATTCTGATGAAGTGAGCCGCCACCTTTCCGTCCTAATCTTGACTTTGATGCTTAAAGTACAATAGCGAAGAGTTCATCCGAACAATTACCATGAAAGCACCTATAGAAAAGGTACAGAGAAGCAACCTCACGGTAGTTGGAAAATGACTGAAGCCGAGATGCCAGATCAAGACCGATAATATTGCTGATTCTTTTTTTGGATTTTATGAAGGCGGTCAAGATACATAGCAGAGGTACTTGAGCATATGTGGCAGCAATATTCCAAGCATGATTGAATGGTAGCATTATCTCGCATTGACAGAATGTACCATCTTTCTTAGCAGGTAATATAGCAGTGTATTCAATGTAAACAAGGGTCAACTTATCCTTATTACGTTTTGTTGTGTCGTCGAGGTGAATGATACACAGAGAAGAATGGGTGCTTAATACGGTGGAGTAATGGATAGCGGCTCGGATTGAGGAATCGGAGAGCCGAGTTCAAATTCTAGTCGTATCCATTACATTCACTCACGTGGTAATACCCTTGGGAAAAGTATGAATCCTCTTCTTCTCCCCCCAGCTATGGGTAAGTAGCAGGATAGACTGGATTCTATATCCTTGGATGGCAACTGGTCTACCGCAAAAACAAATAGCAACCAACTGCGGAAAAAATCTGTCTCGTCAGTCATTTATGGAAAGATACATGATCGTCTAAACGTGTACAACGCATGGCACATAACTGACTAATCCGGTGCTACATACAAAAACACAGAACAATAAGTTAGAAAACAATTAACAAGACAACTTACAAGGAATAGAGGAGGGTCAAATGCTGTATAGCCAAACGAAGTAAGATCAGTCCGAATATTAATCAGCTTATTAATCAACTGTTCAAGTCCTTAATCAAAAATATTTAAGGCTATGAGCCAAGCCATCTGGAAGAGTGCTGAAGGGATGCTTAGCTATTCTACAACACCTTTGTGTTCCATTGGTACAGGGGAACGTCCACTTGGCCAGTTTCTTCTCCAGAATTGTTATTTTGAAAAACAAACTCCTAAGGCGATGTTTCCTTGTTTCCTTGGCGATGTTAAACCCTTCCTCTGTAGAAGCAACAGTTTTATTTTTAATCAAGCAACGTTTTTTTAGTTATCTATTCTAAAATATGTATTTCTTATTTCCTCCTTTTACAACCTCACTTCAGTAATCCTCTACCTTACGTGGCTCTTGGGCCTTGCTTTGGGTGAACAAAAAGGAAAGTCAAAAGCTACGGCTACAGAACCGTTTGGCTAACGACAATAAATATTACGAAAATGGAATAAAAGAATAAATAATAGCAACAACGCATAAATCCAGACAGCACTTTCACATTTGGTACTTTAAAATATACAAAATTCCTACTGATACTCATCATACATGATAAATGAACAATCTATCATATTTTTTCTAGTACTTTTACCCTAACCATTCAATTTCCCTAGGGTAGTGTTGGAACAACTCGAGTTTACGATATGAATCATAATGTGAAAAAATGACTAACCTGGAAACATCTGGAGCTGTTATATATTTACTGCTTGTGCAAATGAGTTCATTTTCCCATGGGCACTCTAGAAATATAGCCCTGAAAGAAATACGAATAACTAATCTTGTTGGTGAGGCCTATATACACTTCCCGACTACACACATTGTAGAACTGGACTCCCAGTAGATGGATACTGAGACACAAATATAAACACAGCGAAGGTTTACCAATGAACTCAAGTATATACAAGAATAATACTTATCTATAGACTCAATTATAAGCCCAACCAATATTTACCTTGAGACATGTATAAACAAGGCCAATAGTTATAGACAAAAGCATAAAATGTCTACCTATAAACTCAAGTATAAACTCGACTTGTACACGCAAGTATAAACCCAACTAACGTTAATGATTCAAGTATAAACACACCCAATGTTTATGTAGAGTCGTGCATAAATCCGACCAATGGTTACCTATAGACTCAGGTATATATCCGACCAATCTTTACCTATAGAACCAGTCATAACCCGGGCCAATGTTTACCTATAAATTCAAGTATCAATCCGACCTGTAGACTTAATATTTGCCTATAAGCTCAAGTATCAACATGACATATAGATTTAAGTATGATCCGACCAATATTTACCTATAAACGCAAGTAGCAATATGACCCGTAGACTTAAGTATAACTCGGACTAATGTTTACCTATATACTCAAGTATCAATTCGACCTGTAGACTTTAGTATAACCAGGTCCAATACTTACCTATAAACTCAAGTATCAATTCGACCTGTAGACTTTAGTATAACCAGGTCCAATACTTACATATAAACTCAAGTATCAATTCGACCTGTAGATTAAGTATGAACTACACTAATATTAGCAATAGACTCAAGTATAAATCCGGCCAAGTTGTTGGGTTTATACAAATGAATAAATGCGTTAGTTAAATGAATTCAGTTATCTAGCGGTGGTGAGTTCAATCCGACTGGCAGGTAGTGCAAAAAGAATCTTACCTTTTTTTTCATTGGAAATGACAGGTGATATCACAAGTGACATGGAGAATTCTCCAATACGAGATAACATCGAGAGTGCATAGTGGGATTAGAACAATCTAACCCAATGTTTATACTTATACCAAAAGGTTGAAATAGACTGGAAGGTTAAATGATAGAAAGATTGGACATTATAATCCATTACTATTATGGCAATCAAGTAAATTAATGTATAGATATTATAATTTATCCTAAATGAAGTCATTGGTGTATAATTCATCTGAGGGTCTGCTTGCTGACAATTACGTTTGCTGGGACTTGTGATGAAGCCAAGGGAAATAACTTGATTTACCGGATCATTTATGAGTCAGTCAGTTCCCCCTTACTCGTCATATTGTCATAATATCATTTTACTAACCCAATTTTAACTGGTTCAGTTTTGTCGTGCTTAATTAATATTTGTGATTATCTATATTCACCTGAATCAACTGTAAACAGAAGCAAAAGTTGTTGGTTGACATAAAATGTATAGGTTCTGTTCAAAATAGATTGTTGCTTGATTTGTTTCCGCAATGTATTAACGCTTTGTGGGTTATTTAAAGCTAAGACATAGTTCTAAGAATAATAATTATCGCAAAGTGTAGCATACAAGTCGACCTTGCGTACAAGTCGACTTCAAATTTTTTAGCTCAAAATGCTGAATTAGGTTTATATCTACCATATAGGTTGACCCCCAGACATACGTTAGGCTTCCAGTAACCCAAAACTTAGGTAGACGAGTCAATGAAGTTTGGATACAGTATACGATAACCTGTTCCAAAACTACATCAGGTCACATCACTTACCTGTATATTGAGATATTAAGCGTAATATCCGTCTATATTCGTTATATCGCAAACAACTTAAAAGACACACACACCGGTAGGTACCGTATATTTTATTGGTATGACTTAGCGGACATTTAAAATCCGTTAGGTCTACTGATAAACACATGAAAGTCAACATCAACTCCTATAAACTATAAATGCCATAGACTATATATCACACTATATTTTTATAGTACTGCTCCGTATCGTATGTTATTGTAAATCACAGTATCACTTATCCGCTATTTACATCAACTGTTGGACGCGTTATGCGCTGTAACGGTAATAAATATTGAATTTGTGCTAATATTTTATATTAGTTTCTGTGTCAATATGCTAGATGTGTT